CCGTGTTAAGCTGTGCCTGTCCGTGTTAAGCTGTGCCTGTCCGTGTTAAGCTGTGTCTTTCCGTGTTACGCTGTCTGTCCGTGTTACGCTGTGTCTGTCCGTGTGACGCTGTGCCTGTCCGTGTGACGCTGTGCCTGTCCTTGTTAAGCAGTTCCTGTCGTCCGTGATGGAGTTTGGTTGCGCTGGCCCTTGCGTGTGCCCGTGCTATTTAGGAACCAAATATGGACCCTAATTCCCTTTACAACCGTCCATCTCTCCGAACGAGAGCGATAGACAGTTTTGATTGGTAAATAGGCAGTTGCTTAAAGGTGATAGATTTTTGACTGGACTGTATCGGTTTCTCTCCCCGTGCCCTTCCAAGCTTTTCGTGCATGGCCTGGGAAGGAAACGAAGGTGTGATCTCTTCCTAATAGATTGTTTTCGATATATTAAAATTCAGCTTGGCAGTGAGGCCTAGAGGACACAAAACAAAGGAAATTGAACGAGCATGTTTATTCATTTCCTTTGTTTGTGTCCTCTAGGCCTCGCTATCAAGCTGAATTTTACTGCATCGAAAGTAGTCTATTTTCTCACGCTTTCTCTTCGAAGGGCACTTGAAAGAAAATATTAACGATAGACCTCCAAGGAGACGAGAGAGCTGACAAAGGATATTAGGTAACCGATCGTTTCGCCCCATAACCAGTTTGCTTCACCGGGACTGAAAGTTTGAAGACCAATGTAACAATATTTTAAAATTTCTCTTTCTTTAAACAAAACTAGCGAAAAAGGACACTTTTTGGTCTATCGATCTGAGATGAACATTGACATTCTTGGGTGGACTTTTCAACCTAATAGTACCCCCCCCTCTCCCCTCCACTCCCCTCCCCCTCCTGTCATATTAATCTCTTCCAGGCGTTCAAATACTTTAAGCGAAGCGCGAAACATGGCGCATAAAAAAATAGGGTAGAAGGGCGTTGCCAAACCTCTCCTTTTTTCGCTCGCCGCTTTTTGACGCTACGCCCCAACTAAAGGAACGCCTGGAAACCATTCTCAGAAATAAATCTAATTACCTCAACACTTCAAAACTAAGTTACCACGAAAGTCTTTCATACATTTCCTTCTCCACATGTTAGCCATGGCCAGATAGTTCACATCATGGCCTCGAATGGGTCGCATACTACTCACATTACAAAGTAGGCAACGAGTAATCCCTCTTTCGCTTAGTCCGTCACGCGTGACGGGAAGAAAACCGCGCGAAAAAAATGGACGCGCGAAATCCTGAGGGCAAGAAGCGCGCGAAAAGCTTCTCGCCACCAGGATTTCGCGCGGCCATTTTTTTCTCGAGGTCATCTCTCGCGTCACGCACGAGGACTAAGCGAAAGAGGGACTACTCGTAGTCTAAGTACAAAGTTACCACGTGAGATCTTCCGCCCTTTTTTTTTTGCTGAATAGCGCGACATAAATAAGGGCAGAAACGTCCCAATTAACCTTCACTTGTTACTAAAGGCTCCAACACGATAAACTAAAATTGAAAATTCTAGGAGTATTAAACCTTTCAAGGTACACAATACCCTTTTAAGACCCGAAGAAAGCTGAGCTGGGAAACTTGAATGTGGAAGCTCGCTCTCCTCGGCAATGTGATCAGTATCAAAAGTCTTTTGTTTTTTGCTAAACTGCAAAAGTTCATACTGTTAATTATATTTATCTACTAATCCTAGAGTAAAACGCATTTTTCTGGTTTAGGCGGTTTTCCATGATTTTTCGGTACAGTTCTTTCTAACAGCGCTGGTTGAATTCGTTGGATCTGCTGCATCATAAGCTGAAATGATTCCTCTACGTTCAAACCAGTCTGAAAAAGATAAAAAAGGTTTCTAAGTCAAGCTTAGTTACCTTAATGATGCAACCTCATTCCCAGGGCCCCTAATCTTCCCATCCTCCTCTCTTGCTCTGGAAGATGAGACCCTGGGAGCGAGGCTGCCTAAGGATGGTGTGTACTAAATACAAAGATTACAACCATGTGGTAAAAGTAGATGATAGCAAGGGCTATTGGAATCCACAAAGAAAACTGGGGGTAGCTTGGCTCCTTGTCCATAGCAGGGGTACCCCCAGTGCTTAACTGACCAACACCCATTTATACACCTGGTGCAGGGAAGTGAGAGAGACACTTTAAGAGTTAAGTGCCTTGCCCAAGAACACAATGCAGTGACCCCAGCCAGGGCTTGAACCCAGACTGCTCGATCCGGATTCCAGCATATTAACCAGCTGGCCAATGCACCTTCAGCATGCCTATGTACGAAAGCCCAGAAGGGACTTCTGACTTCTGACTTGGTTAAGTTTGACTTGATTTCCAGGGAAATAAGTTGCATTTCAGAAATTGAGGCCTATATATTTTGAATTTGGGAGTCGGGGTCAGGACTTTGGAGTCAGGAGTGAGGGGCTTGGAGTCAGGAGTGAGGAGAGGGGAGTCGGGAGTCAGGGGTCGGGAGTCGAGAGTTGGAATCCCTCCTTGGCTTTTGTACCAATGGCAATGGGTACTAAATATTGCCTAAAATGGACTGCAGTAGGGGAACAAACCTTTGCCGATGTCTCAATTAAAGGAACATTGACATCAGAAGAATTGCAGTATTCCAGCACTTCCTCTTTATTCACTTCTCGTTCGCCCTCAAGATCCTGCAAAAACAACAATGACCACAACATTGAGCAAGTAACACAGTGGTACCCACCGAAACCATGACTCTATTTATTTTTCAGAATTTTCAGGCTTCTTAGCTTTCAATTATTGTAAACAAAAATGTGATTTTTTTCTCACTTTCCACTCATTGTGTGCAGTTCATGTAATTCTACAGGATACATTGATGTAGTCCATGTGTAATGTCACTTTTCACTTATGGTTGTCATGTGCAGCATGATAACATGACTTGGTAAATACATATCACACAGGTTTTCCCATGTGAAACAACAAAATCTTAGGCCATGTTAACAAGGAGGAAGGGTAACCCTTATGGCCTTAGCTGTCCTGCGGGACACGATGAGGAATGAGATGAGGGTAACCCTACTACTCTGAAGTCTCAGTCTCACAATTAAACAAAGGTCGAAATGTCTCGGGCTCGCAAAGAAAAGTGCTAGTCTCGACTTCTCGTAAAGTCTCACATTCACCACTATTCACCACCCCTTCAGCTCTTAGGACAATATAACTGTTGGGCCACAAGGGACTTCTGGTGAACTAAGTCATCTTCTAGGTACATCAGTGACACTTATGTTTGGCATATTACTAGGATTAGCAATGCCAAAAGTGTCCTACAGTGTATGTGGAGTTATAGTTCACCTCTAAATTTTCTCCAATTCTTATTGGTTTAAATTGATCATATGACATGATAGTGTTCATTGGTGGAGAGACATCTGCCCATAGTGCCATAGTGTCTGTTTTCATTTTTTTAAATTCTACATTCAGCTTTCACACCTTTCATCCAAAAAAGTTGAAAATAAATTATTCAACATGATTTTTGAACTGGCACAAGGAAGAAAGTTTAGTGGTGAACAATAAAGACAATAGAATGTTGAAATCTCAAACTATCACTCTCATAGCTGTGCCGTGGAAATCTGACGTTCTTAAAACTAGCATATTTGTTTTAAGAACATCAAATTTCTGAGGCAACTATCAGCCTCTATTGTTTAAATAGAGAAAGTAAGATCATAACAGATAACTATGCAATGGAACTTACCAATTTATTAGCCACTATGACCATAGGAATACTTGAAATCTGTTGGCGATCTTGAATAATTTTGCTTCTTAGATCCTTAAGCTCATGCCAACTTGATGTAGAGTTTATGGCAAACAGCACAAGGAATGCATCACCGGTGGCCACTGACGAGTCGCGGAATGAACTATACTCTTCTTGTCCCGCTGTATCAATTATTTCCACATCATACAGCTTGCCATTATATTCAATCTAGAATTTGAAAAAGAAGAAAAATCGGTAAGGCAAGTTTCATGTTCCAAGGCCTTTCTCATGGTTACCACAGACATGACTTTTCGAAATTCCCTGACTTTTCCCTGATCAAAATAAAATTTCCCTGACCAAATAAATACAAAATGTCAGATCTAGTAGCGGCCTCTGGCCTCAACTTACAGCCCTCCTTTACACTCGTACATAAGACTGACAAGTTTTCAACAAATTTTACTTCTTCACTGAGTAAAAATATGGTTGAGATGCCAATGACCACAAATGTTTCTTCCAGCCTTCAACAGTATTATATCAGCCCTATTAAACTATTTTAATTTTCCCTGACTTTTCTTCAAAATGTCAATTTTTCCTGACTCAAAATAAAATTCCTTGACTTATCCTTGACATTGAAGAACTTTTCCTGACCTGTGGCAACCCTGCTTTCTGAGATATAATGCAACTTAGAATATTATTACCATGTTGGTTCTTGGGTCAGATGCTTGACTCTCGATGTCTCTCTCCACCCAGGTGTATTTATGGGTACTGGCGAATTTAATGCTGGGGGTAACCCTGTGATGGACTAATATCCCATCCAGGGGAGAGTAGAAATACGAATAGGAAAATAAATAGAAATTACTCTTTTATTATGAGTAACAAAATCTAAATTCTCATTGTTCAAGCAAGTACATCAACAGATAATCATTTTGCTAGTTAGCTTTAAGCATGTACTTTCTTCCAGGGAATTTTATAATATTTAATACATACCTCCTTTCTGTATGTCTCCTCTGATCACCAAACATATGAAAAGAGAGAAAACAAAATAATTTTACTATATTCACTTTCAAATAAAGCTACCATTATTAAAAAGATAGTTAAATGAAGTAAATGTTGTTAACAGGTCTCTCTTGCAAACCTGTTTCCCAAATGTGAAAGGATTATCACAGATAAAATAATTAATATTATAATACATGTAGTACTTTTCTAATAGTAACCAAATAAAATATTTAGGATTTTCTCAGGAGCAAATTCACAGTTATTAATTTAATAGTAACAATGTCCATGCATTGTAGCCCTGTTCACTTTCTTTTTTACCAACTTAAAGTGTATATGACACAAAAATTTTCTTAAAGTATTTTCCTTCCTTGATATATGTAATAAACGAATACTGTTTTGAAAATGCAAAAAAAAAAATAATTAGGATGATTTTTTTGCAGCCGAAATACAGCCAATTTCCCTATAAAAGTGTCCCGGGAAACTGGAGACGAGAATTGTGTTTGTAAAGTCACAGTGTTTGATAACATTGCTGTTGTGGGAAGCTGCCTTGTCATTTCTCTTGCACATGGCTTCAAATGTGCCAGTGATTTGCTAGCTAGTAATGCTAATTTTCGACCAGGCTCATGCTTCAAACGTTTCCCTTTGTTTTCAGCCATATTGGTTTGTTTATCAAACACAGTGACGTCACAGACGTAAATCATGTGACATTTTGGCTGTGTGATCTCTGGGACAATTTCAAGATGAAAGCAGGCGTATTTTGAATGAAAAAAAGGGGTTTCAAAATATTCTCACAATCTTAAAACTTTACAACTATTTTTCTAACATTATTGACAACCAGAATCAGCGGGAAAAAATGTGTCATATACACTTTAAGGTGGTTCTTCAACTCTGTCAGCCTTACCTAATGTGGGGTCATAGTACTGAAAATGAATAAAACAAAAATAAGGTGAGTATGTAATCAATGTAATTTGGAAAGAGGATCAGTACCAAGACCAAGAGCAATCTGGAAGAAGATACAGGAGAGCAGAGAAAGCCAGAAGATGGGGAAACCAAGGGAACACCTTGCAGTATCTTTAAGATGTTCAAAGACCTGCCAAATGTCCACAAAGATGGATCTTTCAAGGATGTGTAAAACAAAGGAAATTGTAAGAACTTAGACTGATCTCAAAAGAACACAAGGATCATGTAAGCAAATAATTGGATCCTTTAGGATCCACAAGGATTTTAAGGAACCAAAAAATAAATTTGTTGCAAAATCTTGCAAGATCCTTGAAGACAATTTTAAGCATCTTTGGCAAAAGACAATGATGATGATGAGATTAATGCTAAATCATTAACTTTTACCACCACAGACAAAAGTAACAACCTTCTCAAAGTTGTTTTTGAGATAGAAACAGCATGAAATGTGTCTAATTTAAATTACCTCAGTGAACTCATTCTTCAAGTATCGAATGGTTAAAGAGCTCTTGCCAACTCCACCACTTCCAACAACACACAGACGAAACATAACTCTCAGCTACTGTTGATCACTTGACTAAAACACTTTTCCATCCACCACTGAAAGGATGCAAAACCTTACAGAAAGAGAAATCAAAACTACCCGTTACAAACGTTTATTTCAACTAATCAATGCCTTTAAAAGTGTTTTTTTTTTACTTAATAAATATTCAATCATCCATGTCCATCTCTTCAATTACTGTGGTTTACATGATAATGTTTTCTGCAGTCCCCCAGCAGGGTAATAGTAAATGTGCCTGACTGCACTGTTGAGTTATAGTTCAAGCATGCAGAGTTTTTTTTTAAATAATAGGAGGTTGTAGAGAAACATGAAGTACGGCTAAGTGTTTCTTGCACTTCAAAATTCTAATGTGCTAATACAACTCAACAATCACAAGAACGCTCGATTATCACTCCTTTCATAAAATATTTCAGAAATTACCAGCACTCAAAGTTGTAAGGCAATCTGCATGCATTCTAGTCTAACATAACATCACAGATGTGGTAAAAAAACTTCGACAAGACATAATCTGATCATAGCATGTGCAATAATTATTCTTGGAACATTTAGCCATAATTGTATAATTCTCATGGCAAATTGATAAAAAGTCAGCGCTCTTTTAACAGACACCTTTATAAGACAGGCAACTGGGACCAGTCCAGATGGTGTCTGTCTTAGAGAGGTTCCCATGATAGCAAGCCCCTCTCGGAGATGATTCCCATATGAAAAGGTCGGGAATGCTTGTCAGAAAATTTGAATTAAACCCCTAACAGAGACCAATCTGGGTGTGGCTCGAGGTTTATTTGATACCTAAATGATACCAAATAAAATGGAATAGGCTCAATTACCAGCCCCTGCTCAGGAAGGGAGCCCCGGCTACTAGACTGGACTTGAGAGACCAGTGGAAATCAAGCCCAAAATAGGAAATAAGAACATTTTTTTAAACATTTTTAACATTATTATTTCTTTGAGTGCACCGTAACAGATACTTTGACAGTTAAAAATAGTGGCGTTTCGTCATGAACACCCCAAGTGAGACAAGAATCCTTGATTTATTCCCCTAAGTGAGACCGTTTCACATGGGAGCCCCCTGCCTCCACCCCCCGGCAACAAGTCCCTCTCCTCTCAAAAAACCCCATCCTCGTGTCTCCTCCCCCGCCCCTGTAACACAACTGGGGAAACAAATCAAGGGGTGGCAAATGGTCCTTCAAAAACTCTAGGTCTCGCAAAATTTTAGTCAAATTTCACGGATCTCGCAGTCTCACTTTTTAAGCTTTTATGTGCATCTCGGACTCAATTTTTTAACAAAGCTGTCTTGGAGTCTCAGGCTGTCTTTGGGCTCACAAAGAGAAATGCTAGTCTTGCTGTCAAAATAAGTCTCGCACTTACGATTCACCACCCCTAAATTAAATTAAATGGTGAATGATTCTTGATCATACTGTCATGGCTGGTAATATACATGAAAAATGCCAGTTGAGTTCAATTAATTTGTATATGGAGTAGGAGATAAAGTAGGAATAGTAGGAGATGAAGATGCCGTGTCAGGTAAAATAGTTTTGAACCTCTAGGCATTATGTGTCTATCAATGTTAAACCCAAGGGGTGCAGGGGGGAGGAGATCCCAGGCATATGTGGGGCATTTGACTTTGATTGCCTTCCTCACCCTTGGGAATTAGATTAACAGTCTGGGCCCCAGGGGTGGGGCAAGGAGGAATGGAACCATATCAATGAATAAAACAACTACTTCTCACTACTCACTTTCAATATAAATTGATGGAACACCTCACTTTGTGGAGATTGCATAATAAACCGTAGGAATTCTAATATTTTACATCCACTGACAGTGAGAAATTATGACCCTCCTGAAATGAATGGAGGCCTACAGGACAACACACTATGGCGCTATGCTGAGGCAGGGATATTTGATCTGATTTTACCCATTTTACCCGCTGAACAGATCTAGACAATTTGGAATTTCGCTGATACAATATAAATTCATTTTTGACTAGGCGTTGTCCTCGGTGTTGCTTAAGCTCCCTATTGATAGACACATTACATGGTGTCACACTTGCCATCACACTGATTTAGAAGACAAAAAACAATGGAATTCTCCCCCTCACTTGTAAGCAATTGACCTAGTTAGCAAATTATGCATAAAAATTTGCATGTATTTGACAGTATCACTTTAAGAAGTGAAGACACCCTTGGAAGTATTTATTAATAATGTTATTCACTGCTGTCATATTGAATTTCATGTCAATTGTACAGCACTGAAGCAGGTCAAAATAACAAACACTCACAGCTCTCCCAAACTTCTCAAAAATCAAAGGACGCGGAAATAATATCAGTGAACTGAACATGTCCATGTTTGTCTCTGAAAGGCTTCCATGGCGTTGATCGGGACAAATTTAGCCCATACTTTATATCTGCCCATCTGCCCCAAAGACTGAACTTGCCATTTCGATTGCAGCACAATTAATCTCAAGCTTACGTGCGGTATACAAAATTAGTCTTAAGGGAAGAAATAAGCTAAACTTAATAAACTGTTCTACAAAAGCAGTGACTCGTGGTGAACACTCCTTGTATATATATTCGCTCCATTTTGAAGCTATGGAGATCTTTGACAAAGCTAAGCCAACCTCGCTTTGAAAAAAAATAATAAGTGTTTTCTAAATATTTTAGCAAGGTATCACTGTTGAAGAAAATGCTTCTGTAGAACAAAGGACGTTAGGGAAAATTAAAATAATGTGATACGAAATTACGGTATCAAAGAATTCATCAAGTTAGCGTGTTTTATAACCCTGATCAGTTACCGATAAGCTTCTAATTTACAGCACAGGAATTGCATTTTTTCGCTTAGTGAAAATCATGTTAACTGCGAGGTTTCGTGCACGTTAACTTATGATCAAAAACAGTTCTTCATTAGCATGTTTGAAAAACAACTTGGTCGAAGGGAAGTAGGAAGCTTCACTTACCAACTCAAACAGTTCGAAGCCTCGCGCTTGCTCCGAGCTTGTAAGAAGGGCGATGCAAGGATTCGACCAAAACAACTAAAGACGTAAAAAAAACGCGACTTAAAACCTAGAACAGCTGCAAATTCCATTCAATGGAAAACCCTCAGCATCCTAAACCTGCCCTCGGTAAATACTTGAAAACAGTCTTGTACAAAAATACATGACGTCATCACCAATCAGCAATGAGCTGCACACGTGCTAAAGTTGTTGTTTGTTTCCCTGTGGATTACAAACTGCGCACCGACAAAGTGAATTTTTAAGAAGTGTGTACGACAAAAAATTACGAAGTCTTATATATACCTCGGACATATTGTGTTGATAGTAAATTTCCTCAAAGAAAATCGATATTTTTTGTCCAACTTCTCAGCCATCTGGAAACCGGAAATTCCAGTTGGAAAATCAAATGGTTCGCGCCATACCGTTTGGGAAGCTTCAGAAAATATGGGCTGTGATTTGAGGTGATGCTATTTTTCTGCTCTTTTAAGTCTCTCTTGCTGATGTGGATATACTTTACAGCGATTCCCTCTCCCGCAACGTGGCATTCAACTGTTTAATGTTTATGCCTGAAATTTCCAACCGGATGGTTTTTGTAGATGGTAAGCACCCCTTGCTTTCTATCAGTTCTCAATAACTGTTTTGAGTTTTTCTGAGGATGTCCTTGGCCCGTAAGAACGTGCCATAAAAATATAACAGCTATCGTGCTGAGTAGCTTGTTTGTCGAAAGGCTTCTTATTTTTAGGATTAACATATCAAAAACACGGAACAGTACAATCCTGAGGAAATAATAAGAAATTGTTGTGATCATGAAACGAAAACAAGTCCCGGAAGGTCGTGCGCGCCTGACTCACGTTTCGCGTTTACGTCTCGCATTTCCGTCTCGCGTTTCGCATGTACAATGTTAGAAAAGGTCTAATATAATCATGAACGAAAGAACGTCTTTCTCTTAGGAGTGGGAAACCAAGAAAGCGATAAATAACTAGTAAAAATGGCCTCGTTTCAGTAGAGTAAGCGACCAGACAACAAGCGTAAATATTCCCGTACAAAATATTTCCATAAATATTCCCATACATACTAGTTATCCGGGTAGTTATTCAACGGTCTCTCGTGGTATACCATGGACTAACCCAACGAGTCGCTAGTATTTTCTCGGTATACACACTTTAGCCTTTAGGCGAGTTTGAATGCCGCGAAAATACTAGAGACAAGTGGTACATTCCATGGTATACCACGAGAGACCGTTGTATAACTATTTTATACCATGCCATAGAAAATACAGTGGCCAACAGAATCTAAGCGACATACACGCGACGCATGATGGGAAGTTTG